TCCTTGGTTTTCCCTTATCCATTATCGCCTAGGATTTTGAACTTAGGGTTGAACATGGGGTCGAGGAGTGCCAAAGAAGTCAGTAATTCGTGCCATTTGCGCTGCTAATTTTTTATTTGTTCGTGCGTTCTATTGATTTGTCTCAGTAGCACTTTGAATCAAATGATTAAAAATAGTGCCCATTTGTTGGGCCAGAACACCAATAATTTCATGGTTGTTGTCATCCATTTTTTGTCAAAATGCCACTGCAAACTTGGTTGTTAAGTTAGGCAATTGTGAAATGAATCCTGAGGGGGGACATTTTGACCCATATTGTTGACTCCTGATCCAGATCCTTGTACTGGTGAAAATGTTAATAATCTTGGGTCAGGAAATGTTGAAGAACTAATATTAAGGATTTCCATTATTGATGTTGGCATGCCATAGGGTCGTTCACGGCCATCCATTGGCATTGTGAATCCAAATGCGAAATGTCTGTAATTATTTGTCCCTAGTGGCCTTGTGTTCGCTCGGGAACCCTGCGACCATACTGGAGACGGAATTGGACCGACGAAAGTGTTTGTAGGTGTTCCTGTTGTATTTTATTGAACATGTATCTATTCGGTTGCAGACAATGCAGCCGTACTTTCCCCTATCGAGGGGGTGGTTATTCTCCATCGTTATTGGGTGGTGGATTAACCATCTTCCTAGTATATTTTCTTCTTGGAATTTGTTCATTATTTCTGGCTAATTTTCCACTCCTCAATCTCATGCAACAATGTCAAACAAGATAAACTAAAATAAAACACAAAATACAAAATTTGTGACACGAACACGACAATATTCCACTGGGTGTGACAACTTGTTCACCGTGAAAATTGATAAACAACCGCTAGTCTTCTGAATTCTAGAAATTCTGGTAACTTACAGGATCGACTAGATTGATCCTAGGACATGTGTTGTGTTTCATTGATTTATATCTTTTGAATGTTCATCTTTTCGAATGTTATGGTTAAATTGTAAAGGATAGAGATTCTATGAAAAGTGACTATAGGAATGTAAAACAACTTTGACTTAAAAGTAAAAGGAATAAAAAAGATTATGGTAAATATGAACTGACAATTAATTAAAATATGGTGATTCACATGTACATTCTCAAAGATTCTTTTCTCTAAACACTGGTACTTCGAGTTTTATGAGTAACTTGTACAAAAGTGAACACATTAAAATCTAACATTAAGACCCTAATTTATACTAATTTGACCATAACGGTCTTTTCCTGTAGAAATGCCACGTCTGACGCTGCATGCTTTCTCAAAACCTCAGGCTTCCACGCGTTCTTCTGGATAAGAACAAAGCATTTGAATTCAAAATCAGCCTTCAATCCAAAGGGTCAAACATCATGCTATGATCTGTCGAGTTATTTGAATTTGAAACTTGAAATAACCTTAAGTCCTTATGCGTTCCGCAATAATAAAACTTCGCTAAATCTTTATTCAGTCCGTCAATTGAAAGAACTTTAAGTAACCAACTTCACATTCCCTTTGAAAATTTGAACTTCCTTCGACATCCTCTCATTTTCTTCCAAATTATACACCTTCGAAATTCCAGCCAACAGTTATCGACGAAAGGAGTTGCACCAAAGATTGAGTCGGGCGGATTTGCGGAAGGGGATGGCCGTAGATGGTGGAATCGGATGGTGGAATCAGAGAGGAAAACGATGGATATAATCGAAAAATAGCGACTTAAATCGAGAAGGGGGGAAAGGGTTTAGTGTTTGCGTATCTGAGAAGAAGAACAAGGTTTCACAAAGTTGAGCGATATAGTGGTTTTTCTTTTCATTATTGATATATATTCTAAAATATTTAACAGCGCTTTTCAGAACGTCTTTTAGCAGCGCTTTTCAGAAACGTTTTCTAAATGGTGGCGTCTAGCAGTACTTTTTAAAGTGCTCTCCTATGTATATTCTTTAACAACACTTTTCAAAGACACTTTTTTAAATTAACCTTTAACAGCGCATTTTCTTAAATTAACCTTTAACAGCGCTTTTTCTTAATTTAATATATAATTTTAATTTATTTTTTTGAATTTATAACAGTTCTTTAAATAAATAAAAAAAGCTTTGTTTATAGAGTGCTACTTAAAACCAATTTTTAATTAATTATTTCTCTCATTTTTGGATGGAAAGGTTGTTAATTTTATAAGTTTTTCTTAATTTTCTTGAATGAGCACACCGCTACTTATAGGACTTCCGGAGCCTTAATAATTATGTTTGTCATTGCATAACGTAGATTAGATCTTACACCAAAAGGGTAAAAATATCAAAGTGAAAAACTTGTAATAATGATATGTGGTATCATTCCCATGGCCAGAATTTAATTTTGTAACATAATAAAAAATTTGAAATTTATATCAAATAAAACATTTATGAATTGATCATTATAATCATCACATTTAATAACAATAAAATTCATTGTTTGTTGTTAAAAATAAAAATTGCAACAAACGTGTTATTTGGGGTTAAATTTTATGTTTCAATTTATATTAAAATAACATTACTCTTAATATAAATGTAATAATTAAGTAACCCAAGTATTCCACCAAAGTCACTGCAGTCAACTCTAATGTCTAACTTTATTGTAAGTTTCATCTCTCCTTCCTACGACTATTTATAATAAGAATGTTCAAAAAATTATTTAATAGTTGAATTTTTGTAACGAGGTGTTGAAAATGATATAGATTATTGGTGTGGAAAATATTCAACAATGTTGAATAAAATGAGAGTGAGAGCCATATATTATTTGTACTTTGTAAAATTTTATTGATTATTGTGATTGTTTAGATTTTTATTTCACTTTAATTATTTAGAGTCAATTATTTTATATTAAATTAATTTTTATTTCTTTTTATTTTTATCAAAATTATCATTTTTTCTTTATAAATAGATATTTGATTCATTAGATTTAGATACAGAAAAAGAATTGAGATTTTTCTCTCTAATTTTTCTATTTAACTTTCAATAAATTTTTGTTTGTAATTCTAACCATCTTTTTAGTGAAATAGATCCCAACAATAACTTTTTTAACACTCAAAATTCTATTAAAATACTAACTTTGTTCCTTTTTATAAGAGACACATCTTTTTTTAGGTTTATTGAATAATCAATATATTTAATTTGTTTATAGATAAGATACATTGATTATTCAATGAATCTAAAAAGTGAGTTGTCTCTTATAAAAAAGAACAAATATAATATAAAATTAGAAAAATAAAATTCAAATAAATTATTAAATTAAAAAAATTAAAATAAATTATTTAACTCTTAATTATTTTAATTTAATTTAATTGTAATCGATAATCGTTATTAATATATAATCACAAGAACAAAAATATAAAAGAAAATAAAAATATGAAATAAAAGTGATGAGATATCTGTTGATTTTATTAAAGAGAATCATTGCAGTGAATAAATGTTGAATAAATGATGAATTATTAGATAAAAAAGGGAGAAGATGATGTTGAATTATTAGACATGTAACATATTTTTGATCTTTTGCCATGAGTCTATTTTGAAGTTAACATTAATTATTATGAGAAGATAGATTAATTTGATTTTGATGTTGAATGAATATCATCACCACCATGAACATGGCATCAATCACTCTTTAATCCACTCATTCAAATCGTTGTTTTGTTTAACTTTTTAAAAATAAGATTTGAAATTAAAATCTATAAAAATTTACAAAAACAAAATTTGAACTAATTTAAAATTTAATTAGTTTTTATATTTTTAACGATACAAAAATAAAATAAATTAAATAACTCACAAATTATTATCAACTTCATCCCAAAATAAGTGTCATAAGTATTGGTAGAAATGGATGTAACACTCCAAATTCGATTAATTGATTTAATTGAATTATTTTTATATTTAATTAATTATTATGTATTTTAATTAAAATAAATTATGTGTTTATATGTGTTATTGGGGTGTAATGGTATTGATGGGTTGGAGTGAGAATATGAGTGCTTCGTTGAATAATTAAAAACAATTCGAATATTAGTATTTTTAATTAATTAAAATAGAATAAAAAATTATATTTAATATTAAAAATAAATATAGAAATTTGAGACTTTATGACATAAATTATTTAATAATGAATTTAAAAAAAAAAAAAGAGTTAGTAGATGAATAAAGGGTAATTAGGAGAATGTAGAGATAATTGAGGATAGAATTAATTAAAAACTGCTATCGTAGGAAGGAGAATACTTGGGTTACTTAATTATTACATTTATATTAAGAGTAATGTTATTTTAATATAAATTGAGACATAAAATTTAACCCCAAATAACTCGTTTGTTGCAATTTTTTATTTTTAAAAGCAAACAATGAATTTTATTGTTATTAAATGTGATGATTATAATGATGAATTTATAAATGTTTTATTTGATATAAATTCAAATTTTTTTATTATGTTACAAAATTAAATTCTGGCCATGGGAATATACCACATATCTTTATTACAAGTTTTTGACTTTGGTATTTTTACCCTTTTGCTTTAAGATCTAATCTGTGCTCATTCAAGAAAATTAAGAAAAACTTATAAAATTAACAACCTTTACATCCAAAAATGATGGTGAACACTAAATTCCTTCAACTTATATAAAAATTTATTGCAATTCTATGCATTCTTATGCAAAGATATTTACTATGTGATGGAGAGTCCAACAATCTGTTCATAGCCAGTGAAGCATAGGCTCTTCTTGACTTCAAGAAAAGCTTGAAAGACCCTTCAAATATTTTATCTTCATGGACAGTTAGAGAAGATTGTTGCCATTGGAAAGGAGTTGGATGTAACACAACCACAGGTCATGTTATTTCCCTTAATCTCCGTTCTTCTAATTCCTTAGATATACTTCAAGGTTACTTAAGTCCATCTTTGCTACAATTGTCATATTTAAGTTATTTGAACCTTCCTGCCAATCATTTACTAGGCCATATACCATATTCAATTGAGAGGATGACAACTCTTACAACACTTGATCTATCACATAATATACTAATCGGCTCAATATCACCCTCCATTGATGGGCTAGAGAGTCTTGTAGCACTTGATCTATCACACAATATGCTCACTGGCTCAATACCATCAAAATTGGGCCGAGCTCATGGCCAAAGTAGTTTGAAAGAACTGCGTCTTTCTTATAATCACCTAAATGATTCATTGGAGAAAATCCTTCCTCAACTATCAAAACTGGTTGTGTTGGACTTAACCGGAAACAATTTGATGGGAAAGATCAGTGATGTTCATCTAGCTAATTTTAGCAACCTCAAAGTGTTGGACCTATCTTTTAACTATGTAACTTTGAACATGAGCAAAAATTGGGTCCCCCCATTCCAACTTGAAACTTTAGGTCTGGCAAAGTGTCTTTTGGGTCCTCAATTTCCAAAATGGATTCAAACACAAAACAATTTCTCCCATATAGATATATCAAATACAAGTATCTCTGATACTGTGCCTAATTGGTTTTGGGATTTGTCACCTAATGTTGAGTATATGAATCTCTCTTACAATGAGCTGAGTAGATGTGGACATGATTTCTCACAAAAAATCAAACTTAAAAAACTTGATTTGAGCTACAATAATTTCTCATGTCCCTTGCCTCGATTGCCTCCTAACTCAAGGGATTTGGATCTCTCCAACAATTTATTTTATGGAACAATTTCACAAGTGTGTGAAATGTTGGGTGTCAATAACTCATTGGAAACTCTTGACTTATCTTTTAATAATTTGTCAGGAGTCATTCCAAATTGTTGGAAATATGGGACAAACATGATTGTTCTTAATCTTGCTGAAAACAATTTTATTGGATTAATTCCTGATTCCTTTGGTAGCCTCGTGTATCTCCACGTATTGTTAATGTACAACAACAATCTTTCTGGAAATATTCCAAACACTATAAGAAATTGTCATTTTTTGACTTTTTTGGATCTAAGGTCGAATCAATTGAGGGGGCCCATACCATATTGGATTGGTACAGAAATGTTGATCCTAGAGACACTCGTATTGAGTAGGAATTCCTTTGATGAAAATATCCCCACATCGTTATGCCAACTAAAGTCTTTACGGATATTAGACCTTTCAGAGAATCAATTGAGGGGGGGATTCCAAGATGTGTATTTCCTGCTATGGCTACCGATGAAAGTATAAATGATCAATCCTATATGGCGTTTCTTACAATTAAGGAAAGTCTTTCGATATATCTATCTAGAAAATATTTATTTGGTCTTCGATTTAAAGGAATGGAGTTGTTTTTTAGTGGGAGTTTATATAAATACATATATGTGATTGACTTGTCATCAAATCATTTAACACAAGGCATTCCTATTGAAATTACAAAGCTAGTTTATTTGAGAGCTTTAAATTTGTCAAGGAACCAGTTGGTGGGTTCCATTCCTTCCAATATTGGTGAATTGAAAAACTTGGAAGCATTGGATTTGTCGAGGAATCAGTTATCATGTGTCATTTCCACTACCATGGTTACTTTGAATTTTCTCTCTTTTTTGAACTTATCATACAACACTTTGTCTGGGAAAATTCCATCCGATGGACAGTTTGCAATATTTGACAATGACTGCTACATTGGTAATCCGCACCTTTGTGGTGATCCACTCACAGAAGCATGCCTTAAAAATAGTTCGTTCAAATATGCGAATTGTAGTCACATTGAAGAACATGAAAATGACAACTATGGAGACAAAAGAAGGGGCTTGGTAATAAATCCATTCTACATAACCCTGATTGTAGGATTTTTCACTGGATTTTGGGTATTTTGGGGCTCCATATTACTCTTTGCATCTTGGAGACATGCTTATTTCTGTTTCCTAAGCAACATGGAAGATAAGAGCTATGTCAATGTAGTTGTTACTATTAATAAATTGCGGAGGAAGCTTCACACTCAACAACCTCCCATGTAACCAAACTATGTGCTTAATCTGTCATTGTGTTAAGAAATAGAAGAGTCACAAACTGTATCCAGGGGATGATTTTAAATATAGAATTTCTTTCTTAAACATCAATTTTCTGTGCTTATGTAAACAATGAATCGCCCAATCTGCATCCAATTGCATGACTATAGTTACCATTTGTTTTTAAATATTGGTCGAAGTATACGACAATTCATAACAAAAAAAAACTCTTGCTACAACTTGTAAGATGCAAGTAGGACTCATTAAATAAAAGCTTTAGTTTATGGTAGATGTTTCACTAGTAAAATTAAATTAACACTAGCATAGTAGCATAATCTATATAAGCTTCTTCTTCTGGAAAAATCTCTTCAAATGCCACAATTGTAAAACTGAAACTGCAATGCAGATACCTAATGACATTAAACTAAACCATGCCACTCTGCCATTTGTTCTTTCACTCACGATCCTCATTTCTGCTTCCCTGAGCAAAACATTACAAAAAATATATACAAACATAAGAAAAGTCTTCTTTCTTAGAAAAAGTTGCAGAAGATTCTTTCTAGAAAAAGGTGTTGACATGATTGGAATAATTACCTTCCCTTCAGGTAGAGCAAATTCTCATGGATAGATTCCACTGCTCCTTCTAGCTTTTTCAGCTCAAGCTCAACTCCCTAGATATCATTTTGATGTAGAAACAGAAATAAGAAGAAGAAAAAAAGTCTTCCAAAGCAAATGGAAGAGGTATATATTTCAATTAAGATTTGGATCCTCTACCTTACTTTCATGTTACAAAAGTGAATAACACAAATATATGAAGTTCCTAAAAACCATTTTACAGCAGACACAGTGCCTAAACTCCTTCCATATTATATAATTATACCTTGATTAATTGTCAGCCATTGAAAGGTAAAACTCACAAGTCCTATCTACATGATTATTATGGTAACATTAGTTACAAAATTGTACATATCATTTACCTCAATCTTCTCCTTCTTAGCAACTGAATCCCAATCCTTGGCTGCAATCCCGATTTTCCAGTCAAGGTTCACACTAACGTCACCACCTTTTGGATTACCACCATCCACCCAAAAGCATGCCAGGTAGTTCCCAGTCTCTTGAGTAGTAAATGCGAAATTCCCATGTGTTGTATTCTCTTTATGATGAAGATTATTTCCATATGGTGATGTTACCTGAAGAAAACATCCCAAGTAAGAGATATTTTTTAGAAACTATTATCAGAAGATCATAACTCAGGCTCCACACAAGTTATAATATACCTTATCAACACTATACAAAAAGTCCAAGCTTTTCACTATTTCCCAATCAAATTTCTATACAAAATTACAAACTAAAGACATCTTCATTTTAAGTTCATGAAATTGATTCACAACTCAAGAACAAAGATAACTAATGTTTTATTATTTAAACACTACCATTTGCATGCATATTGTCAAAACCTGATACTAACATCGAAACCACCGAGACATTTCTTGATTTCCACCGACCAAATCAAGCGCAAATGAATACGAACCACACATTCTTCAATTTCTACATTTTCAACCATCAAAACATCTCCAAACACAAATTACTCGACAGCTCAACAGGCTCAACACAACAACAATTTGTATATATAATTAACACATTGATCAAAACTAAGCAGCTCAGACACCAGAAGAAATAAGCATGAAACAAACAAAAATTCTCTTGAATCATAAATACATACAGAAAACAAAACAAATCGGTAAAACATAGTTACGAAGCTTTAAAATTCTAAATTCCTATAACACCAGATTCAACAAAAGAAATTAGGGCAACACATTACAAATCTATCATCCAAAATCAACACACAAAAACCTAGGTTTTCCGATCATGAGATTCCAACTAATCAACACTAACCCTAACAACAATAAGCAATTTTAAAGAGAATGGCAACAACCTTGACGGCGAGAGTGGGGGATAGGGTATGATCACCGGGAACGACGACATAATCGGCCAAAACGACGACGTTGTTCTGGATTTCTTCGGAAACGCATTTGGTACCAGAGGAAGGTAGCGTGAGCCAGATAGCGAGTGTAGAAGGTAGAAGATTGATCGAGAAGAAGAAAAGAAAGAGAAGTAACAATTTTGTGTTCTCCATGATAACCCCCTTTTTGTGTATGCACACGCTCGAACGAGTATTCAAGATTCACAGACTTCAGAATTTGGATCTGTTTGTCTAATGTTTTATTTTATTTCAGTTTTTTTTCTTAAAAGGAAAAGTTTCAGTCATAGTACTAATTTTATTACACTATATTATTGCTAATGAAGATAGGAGATACACCTCGTTAGAATTATTTTATATGATGAGTTTAATTACCGTGTACCGTCTTATAAAACTTTTTACAATAGCAATGCATCACAACTACTCAATTAGATTATTTTAAAAGAAATTAAAATAAAAACTAAATGTTTTTAATAAATTAACAGTTGTGATTAATTAATAATATAAAAAAAAATTATATTGTGAATGTGTTTCAATTAAATTCTTCAATGAATTATATGTAATTTGTTTATATTGATATTCAAAAAAGATATTTTATAATTATTTTTATTATGAAAAGAAAATCAATTCATATCATTAAAAAATAAAAGTTTATATCATTAAATATTCTCTTTGTCTCATCTTATAAATAAAAATTACTTTTTAGATTTATTAAATATCTAATGAATCTGATTTATATATAGACAAGATACATTAAATATTCAATAAATTTAAAAATAATTATTTCTTATAATATGAGATGAAGCGAGTATGTTAGATTTGTGAATTTTTATAATAAAATATCATTGTTTTAATTTTTAAATAATGTTATTTCAATAACTTTTATTTTAAGAGTTTTTTTATAGAAGATGTTTTTTTTAATTGTTAAATTATAAATATTAATAGTTTGTTTATTTTAATATATAAATATAAATAAATATTGTTGTCATAAATTGAATCTAGACCAACAATTTACACTTATTTTATTCAATTAATACATATCAATTCAACTATCTCACTCATCTCAAAAACAATTTGTTTTTATTAAAGTATTTTTCAATTAAAAATAAGCTAAAACTAATGTATGAGTTAAATTTAACTTTAAAAAAAAAAGAAATAAATAAAAACAGTGGCATGTCAATAAATAAGAATAGATAATATAGATTAATAAAACATAACTACTAATATTATAATAGAGTAATATAATGCAAATTTGTAATGAAATATATACACGTTTAAATAAAATTAACATTTTTTAACAAAGACAAAGCGAATAAAGTTAACAAACAAAAATATATAAAAAAGATTAAAAATCAACTAAGTCAAAAAAAATAAAAAATTTAACAAGAATAAAACTAACTCATTTCATTAATAATCACCAATTCAATATAAGAGAAACATAATATATAGAACTACTCCTAGTTTAAGAATTGACCGCCTTCGTTAAAGAATGAATAACCATATCCGCTTGACGTAACTTAACCTAAAAGTTGGAAAAAGAAGATAAAATGATTTATCATTTTAAATAATTAAATTAAATGAACCACGTTGAGGGAATCACTTTCGAAGATAACTCGATCAAGCTGCAGAGTTATAGTATCCTTTATAGCCTCTTTAAGAGTTAAAGTCTCTGCTTCGATAATAGAGAGATTATCGATATCTCGAGCCACACCTGAATGAACAAAATTGCCCACCGCATCCCACACCCATCACCCTTTATTCGAAGTACCCAATTGTTTGTTGGAACTTGCATCTACGTTACACTTAAGTCAACCAAAATCATGAGGAGACCACGATAACACGTGATACCGATCATTATTGGTTTCTGTCACCTGTTAGGCATAAAATAATTCCTGCCATTGGTGAAAAGCAAGCCAACCAAGCCGAGAAGCCTCCTCCTTCTCATTGTTCCAAACCATATCATTCTGATTCTTCCACATGACTTCTATCATAACAGCAACTCTATCAACTATCTTTCTACCATCTTTGTTACAAATATAAATAATCACCGACCTTACTTCATATAAAACATGTAATCTTTGATCAATAATATGACTTAATCTTGCTGTCCGCCAACTAAGATTTGTCTCGGAACACCCAAAGAAAATATGGCAGTCATCTTCCATGTTATTATCATAGAACGAGCAGTCTCCCGCATAAGGGACGTGATGGTGACGAAGTCTCGTTCTAGAAGATAAACAATCCCTGCAAATCCTCCGCAACAAATGTTTAACTCTAGAAGAGGGTTGAATCTTCCACAAATTCAACCAACTACCCTCAAACCCCTTATTAGGATCCCGCGCCTTAGCCCTTCACCATAATCTATAGTCAGATCTCACACTATAATTACCATTTTGCTTTTCGCCCCATACTAGCCTACCTTTGATAACTAAAATAAATAAACGAAAAACATCATAACAATTAAAATAAATAGACGAAAAACATCTTAATTTCCAAATTTTCTTGCATTATTAAATACATGAAAATCATCATGACAACTAAAATAAACAAATTCATATCTATGTAAAATTGAAACAACTAAATAATATATTTTACACAAATGATGTGAATAAAAGTAGGAAGAAAAAAAATCTTATAAGCCAACAAAAGAAAATTTTATGATGGTAAAAATAATATAAATGATTGTTTTCTTTTTTTTTTCATAATATTTTTATCTTTTTTATCTCTACAAAATTGAAACCACTAAATATTAATACATTAAAAGAAATGATTTTTTATTTACACGTCATCTGCATCACTTTTTTAGTTTGGATTTTTAGACTTTTCTAAATTTTATGAAAATTATGAATGAAATAACAATTAATTAAAATTAATGCATAGTCTTAAACTGTCCGAAAATTAAACCTACTAAATCAAAACATATTAATTTCAAAAAAATTTACAGAAGAAAAAAAATTATGATTTTCTAAAATAAATAAATACATATTAACAACATCAATCATATTTTTTCCCTTTTCTATCTATGTAAAAAATTTTAAGGTTTAATATTTTTCTTGTCTGGTATGTAAACCTCTGAATTTATTTTGATTATTAATTTTTTTTTAAAATTCATTTCGATTATTTAACTTTTTAAAACGTATTATTTTAATTTTTTTGTCATATTAATAACGAATTTAATTATTGATTTTTTAGTTTTTTCATCATTAATTAGATTAAAAGGATCAATATGACACGTTTTGAATATTTATTAGATTAATATGAATTTTTTTAAATTAAGGAACCGAAATAGTTGACATAAAAGACTAAAAAAGATATTAACCCAAAAATTTATCAAAGGAACCTTTGGATAAAAAAAAAAATAGAGATACAACCACAAGAGGAAGGACAAGTCAAGACCCTCAAAGATTACAAAATCTATAGTTTGACATGCCAAGCTTATCATAGATAACAAGAGGGGCAAGGAAGGAAGCTAAATGTTCTAAACTATAGAAATTGATATAGACAACCCTTGGTACGAATGCACCAAGGCACCACCATGGAATCTAGCCAGATTTTCAACCAACCAAACTGAGATGTAATATCAATGGCTTTAATGACACCAAGGAGCTCAACTTGAAAGGAAGAATTGCACTCCGCTTTCTCATCAAAAGCATAAATAAAATCAGTAGTGGTATTCCTGAACAATTCTCCATACAGAGCATAAGGAGATTAGAAAGATATGTCTGTGTTGCACTTGAGCTAGGAGTTTGAGGGTGGCTGCCACAAAACCTAAATGATCTTAGGAGCTTTTGGAGGTTGAATATGTATCTTAAAGTTTTTTATGATTGTGAAGTCTTTTATGGAAGAGTTAGAAGCCTCATTGGTTATGTTGCCTATGAAAGAAACATCTGCATGTATAAGATTCAAAGCTTTATTCCAATGCAAGATATGGTTATGGAATCTAGCTTGGTTTCTATAGTTCCATATCATGTTAATGGTTGTTGTTGTTGTTGTTATAGAAGCTTGCACCTCCACCTTGTATTGACTGCTCCAATTCCCGTCATTCAACAACATAATGTCCAAAACATTGTGCCTAATTGGTATCCCCAGAGTGGAGAAGAACCAATGCCAAAGCTTGAGGGAAAAGGGACAGAGGAAGAATAAATGCTTAGTTGTTTCCCAATTCCTTAGAAATAGGGAGAAGCCAAGTGCTGACTTTGACGTTAGCACATCTGAAGCATGTTTTGCTGTCAATAATATCATAACTTCTGAGAATTATTGTATTTCTAGCAGGGTCAGAACTTCTGGTCTCCCCACTAACAAACTTTTGTCTTGCAGCGCATGGGGGTCAGAACTTCTGACCTTCCCACTAACAGGTTTCTGTTTTGTAGGTACTAGAGTCAGAAGTTCTGACTCATACAGTTTCACTAACAGATTGATAATCTTGCAGAAGGCCTGGGTCAGAACTTCTGACTTCCTCTCAGCAGCGCGCTAGCCCTCTCTCTCTTTCTCTCTATCTTACCTTTGTTATTTTATTTTCTTATCTATTTTTCTCGTTGAACCACCCCGTGTACAAATGTGTATCCCCATCCCCTAAATGATGTAATAGCGTAGGATTTTACATTTCCACCTTTTATTGCTTTCAAGTATAAATGCTAGTAATTAGGATGTGTATGGCAAGATAAAATCAATGAAATAGAAAATCCTAATTCAAGATAAACTCTTGCATGCAATAAAATGCACTTGCATAAACACCCCTAAGGTATCTCCACTTGGTTGCCTAAACAAATGGCCATGATATGCATGTTGAGTATCTATTGGCAAAACGAAAACAAAACAAAAGATCATAGTCCCTCAATGACACTATCTTGGTTACCTATACAAAAATGATCTAGTCCCTCGGAAAATTGCTAAAAGATACTTGGCAATGTTGCTATCATGGTCAATATGATGACCCGCGCCTGTCCCGTTTAACATCCTAACGCAAGGTTGTTCACCAAATACAATGGTGAAATAACACTGTTAAAAGGGTTAAAAAACATAAGAAATATCTTTGAGTAAAATAGGGTAGATAGCTCTTAGTTACTTGATCAAAAGCTTGCAAAAACATCCTTGCTATTTTCAAACACACACACATTTCAAAACATTTCCAAACATCTTTCAAAACATTGAAACATTTTTCAAAAGACAAACATCTTTGTATACATTCTTACGAACGAGAATCATTACAAAGATTTCCTAAACAAAGGCCTCTTTTCAAAATACTTTCAAAACCACACAAAGCACCATTTCAAACAAATTAATAAGCAAACGCAAGTGATCTAAAAACTAAGAGCCCATGGAAAACCATGGATGAAAAGGGTGCTAACACCTTCCCTTTTCATAATCTACTCCCCGAACCCAAGAAAACATCTCAAAGGTCTTTCCTGTGCTTTTTGACCTTTCCTTAGGATAAAATAAAAAGTCGGTGGCGACTCTTTCTAAACCGAAACATTTTGCGAACACAAACCCAAAATCCCAAGTCAGTTCTCCCACCGTATCACAAAACTGGCGACTCTGCTGGGGAATGTAACTTTAAAAGTGGAGTAACCTTAGGGCTTAGATCACCCTTTGCATGATTATTGTTTGCTTTGATTGATTTACATTTTGGTTCTCTTGTTTGGGCTTGAAATCCTCCACCCGGATTTGGGAAACATTCATAGGTAAATAGCAATACGTTGTGGAAACTGTGCGGGGTATACCGACACGGTTGAAGCAATAGCTATATTAGTGTGACATATTTGTGAGTACCGGTAGCCTTTGAGTCAATGAAAGAGAATACGGGGCCGCTGTGTGATGTCATGAAGCACTAATGGACTTTTAGAACCTTACTTGACCATCTTGGCCTTTTGATAGGGGTAGTGAGGTGACCGGCTTTGGTACAGTCCGAAGTTGGTAGATACTCGATACTACACTCATTGAGGGTTGTTTTCTTGGAATATTTTGGTCGCTAGTTAAGTGGCTAAACCAAAACAATGAACATAGAAAACAATCCAATGATATTGAGCTCCTTAGAACCCGGTTACTATTTATAGGACAGGTTTTGAGCCAACTAAACTCAAGAGGGTACTTACCTATGAAACCTCATGCAAGCCTGAAACTAGGGTTTTGTGTGACTTACTTGTACATATGCTTGTGCATACATCATGAACATCATAAAGCATCATATGCATCCACTAACCATTTCAAGGGTTTGGATCTTCATCTTTGTTCTTGTTTTGTAGGTCATGGAATCTCTTCGCAGGAAAACGATCCAAGTCAACCTTGTAAGAATTCCTCCACAACTCAAGGAGCTTACTTCTAGGATTCCAGAGAATTCTCTCTTCAATGAAAGACATGGTAGACTCCTCAACTTGGTCAACACCAGCATTGAAGAATATATGGTGAAAGTTCTCTTCCAGTTCTTTGACCCCCTACACCACTGTTTCACATTCCCTGATTACCAATTGGTGCCTACTTTGGAGGAATTTTCTCAACTCCTGAGAATTCCTATTCTTCATCAACTACCCTACAACGGTACAGAAAAAGAACCAAAGCCTGAAGATGTTGCTCAAGCATTACACTTGCAACCATCTGACATCAAAGGGCATTGGGAAACCAGAAGTGGTGTCAAGGGTTTCTTGGCAAAGTTTCTGTTTGAGAAGGCACAAGACTGCTGGAATTCTCTTGATCTACAAGCCTTTGAAGATATTGTGACACTCCTTATCTATGGGTTGGTCTTGTTCCCAAACCCTGACCAACTTATAGATGTGAATGCTGTCAAGATTTTCATATCCAGGAATCCCATACCTACATTGCTTGGGGACATCCTACACTCATTTTACACACGAACAATGAGGAAAAGACGTGTTCTCATGTGCTATACTCCTCTCCTAGCAAGGTGGTTTATTTCTCACCTTCCATAATCAGTCTTGAAGAATGAGCAGGGTTTGAGGTGGTCACAAAGATTGATGACCCTCACACATTCTGATGTACATTGGTGTTCTCGGTCCAGAGAAAATGTCATCATCATTGATTGTTGTGGGGAATTCCCTAATGTCCCACTACTTGGCATTAGGGGAGGCATTACCTATAACCCCTGTCTAGCTTTGAGACAATTTGGATATGCTCAGAGGGATGGCCCTCATGATATGCTGATTCCAGACCTAGTTTTTGACTTCGACAACGATGCGCGAGGACTTCGACAAAGGTTCATCAGAGCTTGGAGGATGCCTAACAAGATGGATAGTAAGACACTGGGGCACAAGAATTCCATCCCCCTTGAGCCTTATCTCAAGTGGGTACGAACCCGCTCCCAAAATCTTATGATGCCATACCCTCACATTCTCCCCTTGATCAAAGAGCCTGTTACAGAAGGAGAGGTTCCATACACCATCCTACATCCTGACATGCCAACATCATGGGAAGAAATGCAAAAGATTTGGATCCAACTCAAGGAAGAACGGGATACTTTTGAAGCCAGCTTCCATGCCAGTGAGAAGAAGGTTTTGGAGCTTACCCGCCGACTTCATGAGGAGGAGACTCTCAACACTTACATCACACCAAAGAGGATGTACAATGTCTTTTTACATTAATAATTTTGTAATATTTTTCCTATGGGGCACTTATGTACTAACAAATTTCTTCTTAAATATGACGTGCGTTCCTTTTGTTTGCAACAAATTTGAATTTTTGAACCCTTGAATACATTACATGAATAGCATACCATTCATCATATGCATAAACAGGTCTTCACGTTAGGTTTCCTCATCTTTCTGCTGTTTATTTCAGCCAGATGGATTTAGAGCAGACGGTAAAGGATCTGCAGGCACAAAATTCACAATTTCAGCAACTCCTCATGACCTTGGCAAAGGGTCAAGAGGATCTCAAAGTTCTGTTGGAGAAGAATAAAGAGAAGAAAAAGAAAAAGAGACCGGGGGTGGCCACTTTGGGAAGAAGATTTGAGCATCAAGCCAGGAGAGTTCTTGAGTTCCCCTCAACGTCTGACGAAGGGGCCGGTAAAGGGAAAGGGATTGTTGTACCTTCTGAATCTGAGGTTGAAGAGGAGGAAGAGGAAGAAGACGAAGACTATTCTAAAAAACAGTATCCACCAACGGACGACAAATATAAAAATCTTGAAGATAGACTGGGAGCAATGGAGTTGCAGAGGGTGCCCGGATTGGATTTTGAAGAACTAGGGCTAGTAGTTGGGATTGTTATCCCTCCCAAGTTCAAAGTGCCAACATTTGCCAAGTACGACGGTCTTTCTTGCCCAAAGATGCACCTGAGGTCGTATGTCAGAAAAAGCCAACCCCACTCATCCGATAAGGACCTTTGGGTACACTTTTTCCAAGACAGCTTGTCTGGCACGCAGTTAGACTGGTTTTATCAACTCGAAAGATCAGAGGTTCACAATTGGGAAGACTTGGCAGTTGCTTTTTATCGTCAGTATCAATATAATGCTGATTTGGCGCCCACTCGTACTCAGTTACAAAGTATGGGGATGGCTTCCAATGAAGGGTTTAAAGAGTACGCGCAGAAGTGGCGTGATCTGGCGGGAAGGGTGCAGCCACCGCTATCAGATAGGGAGTTATTCGAAATGTTCCTGGGGACCCTATCTGGCCCCTTCTTCAATCATCTGATCAGAAGTTCTTCCACGGGATTTACTGAACTGATTTTGATCGGCGAAAGGGTTGAGGCCGGTATTAAAAGTGGAAATATTCAAAAGGATGCCTCCGCTTCCACCGCTATAAAGAAGACCTTCCCGACAAAGAAGGAGAATTCTGCTGTTTACACCCAGAAAATCGGGAAAGAGAAGAACGTCGGCCAATAGTGGGGGCCGTATTAATTCAGAAGTCCGCATCAGACCAGCCTAGAAACAGTCAGCCGAGGAATGATCAGCCCAGAACTTATCAGCAAAGGCCACCATGGCAGTTTACTCCAGTAAACATGACACCTTCACTGATCCTTCCACATCTCTTAAAATTGAACCTTGCAAATCTAAAAGAGGCACCAAAGAATGTAAATACCACCTCTCCATCCTACAACTCAAATGCCAAATGTGCCTACCATTCCGACAGTGCTGGACACGATACCAATAGTTGCTGAGCACTTAAGAACAAAATCTAGGACTTGATCGACGCCAA